TGAAGAATGAGTAAATCTCAGTCATTTCTTTTTTGAGACAGGGTCTCACTCTGTTCCCCAGGCTGGAGGGCAGTGACACAATCACAGCTCACTGCAGCCTCGACCTCCTGGGCTCAAGCAATCCTCTATCTTTCCACCTCAGCCTCCTGCATAGCTGGGACTACAGGTCACGCCACCACACCTGGCTAATTATTTTTTGTAGAAACAGTCTTGCATGTTGTCCAGGCTGGTCTTGAACTCCTGGGCTCAAGCCTCCGCCTGCCAAAGTCCTGGGATTACAGGTATGAACCACTGTGCCCAGCCTCAGTAATTTCTTTTCTTTTCTTTCTTTCTTTTTTTTTTTCTTTTTTCTTTTCTTTTTTTGAGACTGAGTCTCACTCTTGTGGCCCAGGCTGGAGTATAATGGCATGGTCTTGGCTCACTACAACCTCCGCCTCCCGGGTTCAAGCGATTCTCCTGCCTCAACCTCCTGAGTAGCTGGGATTACAGGCACCTGCCACCACCCCTGGCTAATTTTTTGTATTTTTAGTAGAGACAGGGTTTCACCATGTTGGCCAGTCTGGTCTCCAACTCCTGATCTCAGGTGATCCACCCGCCTTCGCCTCCCAAAGTGCTGGGATTACAGCCATGAGCCACAGAGCCCGGCCAGTAATTTCATCTTTTTTTTTTTTTTTTTTTTTAAGAGAAGTCTCACTCTTATCCCCCAGATTTGAGTGCAATGGCTCGATCTCGGCTCACTGCAACCTCCACCTCCCGGGTTCAAATGATTCTCCTGCCTGTGCCTCCCAAGTAGCTGGGACTAAGTCGCCTGCCACCATACCCGGCTACTTTTTGTATATTGTAGTAGAGACGACGTTTCACCATGTTGGCCAGGCTGATCTCGAACTCCTCATCTCAAATGATCTGCCCGCCTCGGCCTTCCAAAGTGCTGAGATTACAGGCGTGAGCCACTGCGCCTGGCCCAGTAATTTCATCATTAAATGAGCTGGGGAGAGGGGCTGGCAGAAAATTATCCCAACCTCCTCGAAGTCAAAGAAGTCCTACGTACAAACAGCCTCGCTCAGAGTGCCCCATTCAGAAAGCAAAGGAATCCAGCCGGTCCAAGGCCACTGGCCAAAGAAAAATACAAGTCCCAGGAGGCCGCGCGGGAACCAGCCGCGAGACAATAAGCCTATGGCTGCGGGGCATGCTGGGAGTTGTAGTTCCAGATGCCGGAGAGGGCAGACCCTGGGCACCGACTGGGTCTCACCTGGAAATTGCCTACCACGGAGGTGCCCAGGGCACAGAGAAGACCCGTCCATAGGATCAGCTGGTTAGGCCACCTTCCGACGCCCCAGTCCCGGAGCTGGTGGTAACGGACAATGCAGATCCACGCGGCTGGGAGGAGAGGGGAGAAGGAAGTAGGAGGGAGACCCACCCGGGACTCCTGGGACCCAGCGAGGGAACGGAGGGGAGCAAAGTGAAGGAGAAGGCGGCAAACTCCCGGATTTTGGGGAAGGAGGGGCCTGGGGCATGGACTCCTGGGTTTGAGAAAGGAGCCGTCTCGGAGCTCGCTTGGCTGGGCTGGGGAGCACTAAACCAAAGGGCTAAGCAATATTTACCCAGAGCAGCTCCCATATTGAGCACCTGGCTGAAGATGCAGCTCTGAGGGGGGAAGGATCCGCAGATGCTGGGGAAGACAAAGGGGTCATCCTGGGCAGTCCAAGCCAGGGCCCTCACTTTCCTGCAGCGGCAGTACCCCCAAATCCCTACCCTCGGGCAGGACTACCTGATGTAGGGAAAGCCTTTGCTGAGGTCCACCGTCCTGTTGGTCACTGCAATGGCAAAACTACGGGGGAAATCAGAGTGAGTGGGCGACTCCCACCAACAACTTTTCCTTCTGTTGACCAAACAAACAAGGACTTCTAGCCCCCTCCACCCTCAGACCAGGAGTTCAGAACCCCCAGCCCCTCCTCCTTCAGACCAGGAGTCCAGACCCCCAGCCCCTCCTCCCTCAGACCCAGGAGTGCAGAACCCCCAGCACCTCCTCCCTCAGACCCAGGAGTCCAGGCCCCCAGCCCCTCCTCCCTCAGACCCAGGAGCCCAGGCCCCCAGCTCCCACCTCCCTCAGACCCAGGAGTCCAGACCCCCAGCCCCTCCTCCCTCAGACCCAGGAGTCCAGGCCCCCAGCCCCTCCTCCCTCAGATCCAGGGGTCAAGGCCCCCAACCCCTTCCTTCCTCAGACCCAGAAATCCAGGCCCCAGCACCCTCCACCCTCAGACCCAGGAGTCCATCATGCCTCTGACACTCACACGATCCAGACGCCAGAGATAGCCCAGACAGCTAGGAAGATGGGCATCAGCGACAGGTAGCCCCACATGCCGGGCTCTGCAGGTGAAGGAGCGGGGCTGAGGCAGGACACCTGTCTCTCTCTCACACCTGAAGAACCAGCCCTCAAGGAGGGCCCAGGTGCATGAGATTGTGGCCCCAACCACTAGGCCCCCCCTTGACTCTCAGGCAGAAGTCACGGGTGGGGGTCTGATCTAATTGGCCAGCTCTCCACTCCAGGCAATTTCCCCACCTATACCGCAGTGTTCAACCCTATCTCACGCATTCTTCTTCTTGGGGAGTTTCTCCCTGTCCTCCCAGCCCCTCCTTGCACCTCCCAGCCTCCAGGGCCTCCCTGAGATGCTCACCTCTCCAAGCTCCCTGGGGCTCTCAGTCCTGGGACTGGGGCTGGGTGAACTTGGGGAAGAAGGGCTGGCATTCGGGATGGGGCTCAGGCAGGCCAAGGCAGAGGCAAAGTCCGGGCCGGAGCGCTGGAGGGCTGCCTGGGGCCTTGGGTCTGACCCACACTTCCTGAGGGGCTCTCTACCCCCAAACCGCCATGTCCTGTCTCCTCAGAACCTAGCAGGCAGCACCTTAGCTTCAGGGGCCCCTAACTTCCTTCCTCCAGCTTTGTGGGTTCAACGTCCAAAGTCTCAGCCCTTCCCTCCCCAGGAACCAGGAATCTGAGCCTCCAGCTCTCTCCAACCTGGAAGACCCAGAATTCCAGGGCCCCAGTTCCTCCTAGAATACAGACATTCTTCTCCAGCTTCTGAGGTCCAACCTCCCAGCTCTTACCTACTCGGGTACCCAAGAGTGAGGGCCTGAGGTCCGCCTGCTCTCTGGGTGCAGCTTCTGTTTCTGGTCTGTGAGATACGGAGCCCTGATGACCCCGCCTCCTCCCCTCCGCTCTCCTTCTCCTTCCTCTCACCCTTCCCCTTTTCCCTGCTGGAGTTCCCCAGGCAGGCTGAGCGTGGGTGGGAAGGGAGCTCTCAGCGATGACATCTCCATCCGAAAATCCCTCCAGCCAGACAAAGACTGCTGCTGCCACCTGACCCTTTTCCTTCTCTCTCCCAACAGCCACCGTCAGCTTCTGACCTCCTCCCGGCTTGGTACTTAGGGTACTTAGGTCATGGCCTCCTCCTTCTTCCCAGGACCCAGGAGTCCAGTCACTCAGTCCCTCAGTCCCTCCTCCCTCAAACCCAGGGTCAGACCTCTAGGCCCTCCTTCTTTAGACTCTGGAGTCCCTCCTGCCTCTGACATTCACGAGGTCCAAACCCCGAGATAGCCCAGCTAGCAGGGACAGGGACAGGTAAGCCTCACATGCTGGGCTCTGCAGGGGAACGAGGGGCTGGAGCTGGGCCCCTCTCTTTCCTCTCTCTCTCTCTCCTCCCCTTCACACCTGAAGAACCAGCCCCTTGAAGAGGGCCCAGGTGCATGAGATTGTGGCCGTGGCCTCTGGGCCCCCATTGGCTCTCAAACAGAAGTCACGGGAGGGGGTCTGATCTAATCGGCCAGCTCTCCTCCACTCCAGGCAATTTCTCCACCTGTTTCAGTGTTCAGTCTTAGCTCACACATTCTCCTGCTGGGGGAGTTTCTCCCTGCTCTCCCAGCCCCTCCGTGCACCTGCCAGCCTCCAGGGCCTCCCCGGGATGCTCACCTCTCCAAGCTTCCTGGGGCTCTCAGTCCTGGGGGTGGGGCTGGGTGAGCTCGGGGAAGAAGGACTGGCATTTGGGGTGGGGCTCAGGCAGACATCCTGCAGAGGCAAAGTCCAGGCTGCAGGACTGCCTGGGTCCTTTGGTCTGGCGGCCACTTCCTAAGGGCTGTCTATCCCCAAACCACTGTGTCCTGTCTCCTTAGAACCTAACAGGCAGCACTTTAGCTTTGGGGGCCCCTAACTTCCTTCCTCCAGCTTTGTATATTCAACATCCAAACTCTCAGCCCTGTCCTCCCCTGGACTCAGATCTGAGCCTCCACCCTTGGGGACCCAGGAGTCCAAGCTCCAACTCCTTCCTCCTTCCCGAAGATGCAGGAGTCCAGGCCCCCAGAACTCTTCCCTTAGACATAGAAGTCCCAGCCACCTCCTCCCTCAGTATGCCACCTCGTTTCTTTTAATGGATGTAAAATCCACATAACATTAGCCATTTTAAAGTGTACGATTTGGCCGGGCACTGTGGCTTATGCCTGTAATCCCAGCAGTTTGGGAGACCGAGGCGGGCGGATCACCTGAGGTCAGGAGTTTGAGACTAGCCTGGCCAACATGGTGAAACCCCATCTCTACTAAAAATGCAAAAATTAGGCCGGGTGCGGTGGCTCAAGCCTGTAATCCCAGCACTTTGGGA